CCCACAGTCAACCCATCACACCTACGTATTGCATAGAAGAGCGATTAGACTGCATGGGTTATGCACCAGGAGAGAGAAGGGGGGATGTTAAAGCAGGGGGAACAAAGTGATGGGATGAGGTTTGAAAAGAGTTAGAAGGGTCATCCTAATCAGAAATGGTAGCACCTTTTCAAAATTTGAGTAGCAATTACGGGTACTTGTCCCTTGTCAGAAGCTCTGGATGCAAACAGCATGTCCTTAGAGACTGTTCTTCTGCGTATCTGTCTTTGACCACAGTGAGCTTTATATTCATAGTGACACATCAATACAAGTAAACAAATACATAATTCAAAATAAATTATTAGTACAGCTGCTTGAGCGGGTTGTATTGGAAGCTGCTATAGTCATGTCAGGTTTATGACAATGAAAACAATTCTGGTTTATTCACAGATCCTAAGTAAATCCTTAAGGGGAAAAAAAAAAAGTATGTTGCCAACATTCTTCCACCCACACATCTATCCAGAGACCAAACTGAAACAAATGCTGGTGGAAAACAACCTGTATTTCTGATATAGTACTGTGTTTTCTGAAACAGTACTGTTACTGAGCCTTAGTTGTCTCTAACAGGGATGCAAGTCAGGATGTAGTTTGCTGTTATGTCACTTTCAGTAAATGAACCGTGTTACATTTTTCAGTGGTGAACTGTTTCAAATGCAAAAAATAAAAAAACGGTTTAAGTTTTAGCAACTATTAGCAGGGGACTTATAAAGACAGACAAGCTAGAAATGTTTGGAGTTACACAGGTACATTTTGTGAAAAAAATCAATGCAAATTAAAAAAAAAAAAAGGGAAAAAAATTATGCCTAACTTCAAGAATAAGCAATAGCAAAACAGCATTTGTAATCTCTGGAAGCATTATTCTACAGACCCATCATTTTAGCAAAACTAAGAGTGTACTAAAAGCTTTTAAAAAAAGTTTTTTTCCACTTTCTTGTGGCAGAAGGAAAAAAAGAGATAGGAAAACAGGGAACAACAGAAGAGCACAGGGAACCACGTCTTTCTGTTGCCTTTATTATACACCCTAACAATAATAACAGCGTGATGAAATGTTCCTGGATCTTTAGTTCTTGTGGACCACAGCACCTCAAACCTAATTATGATTCCAGATTTTGTGAGGTAGTGTAATGCCTTAATCATTGAGAGGAAGTAACAGGTTTTATTTTCTAAACAATAAAAAAAATTTCCAGAAAATAATATGGTGCCATTAAGTGACAGAAAAGGATTTGCCTTATAAAATAAACCAGTGAACAGGCAGGAAGAAAACTGATTGAAGAAAAGTTTTAAGACACAACAAACATACGAGGGCATGATTTGCTGCTGTGTTGCTCAATTCCAGCTTAATCAAGGGAGTTGTGCTAGCATAAAACAGTCAGGAATCTGGCCCACACTTTAGAGCAATTATATTGTTAATATGCTAATACATCATGCATATTAAAATGTTATAAAATATTGACTTAGATATGCAAGGTTTTATTGTCAATTATAATTAGCTATGAAATTTTATAATGACTAGCAGCAATAATAATAACAATAAGCAAACTGATTGAGGCCAAGATGTCTGGAATATTTTGGGGGGTTTATTTTAAATGATTTCACGATTGAGGTAAAATAATTAATAGCTCAAATGAAATCCCTCCCTTACTAATAGACAAAACATCAAAATGCTTTCATAAAAATTCTTATTAAACAAGAATTTATTATAAAAGTATTTAAATGTCATAACTTTTAGAGCTCATATTTCTTTCTGGGACTGATTTTCTTAACAGTGCAATTTAATTACTCTTATGTTTCCTTCACAGATAAAATACTGCTGGATATGCTGGATTTGAATCAGTTTCTAGGAGTTTAGCATCAAACCATTCATACTTGCATACCTTCCTCAAGAAGCAAAAAGATGTCCCTAGCATAACAGTATGTAACTTCAAAGAATCCTCTCCTCTGTTTCTCAGCCAGGAAGTACTGTCAGTCTTTGCTATCCAGCAACCTCACTAGAAGCTCAAAGCACGGTACGGAGCAGAGCCTTTATTCTAGAAAGAAATGTCCTTAAAGAAGATTGACTAAAATGATATTCAGTTACAAACCTCTACTCTGGCCTAATCTCATGCTTCAGCCTTACAGAAAAAAAACAGTGGAGATTTTAGATAGTCACATTCTGCTTAGAAGTAGATGAATTCAGCTTATCAAACTAGATAAATACTGTACAGTAGTTTTAAAATTAATCATATTTTCTTCAAAAGTTCTAATGCAAATGCTCAAAGTGCAGACTGCCAATTGTTAGTTCTTCAGTTCAACAATGCACTCATTTTGCTAATATACTATATATTATCAGTAATTAACAAACATACTTCATATGAATTGGTCAAGTATGTTTTCACTAACAGCCCTTGTATTCCTTACTTGAATCCTTACCTGTTTTGTGCCCCAGAAAGCCTTATTCCCTTCTAAAACACCATCTAGTATCCTAACCTTTTGTGTTTTATGCTTTGAACAGAGTTCTCAATTCCAGTATGTTTTTGTGAAATCAACATTTGCAAATCTAGAGCTAAGACATCTAGCCTGGCTTTATAATGCCCTGAAACCAGAAATAAAAGAAGTTAGACTGTTCATGCAAATCTCTCTCCTTTCCCTTGCCATTATTATGTTTATTACCTCCTCTGACTTTTTTTTTTTTTTTTGCACTGAATTACTCAGGTGCTTTATTCACCGCTGCCTTACATGCATTCCTCTGAAATCAGAGGTTGCTAACTTCTATTCAGC